TTTCATACGGAAAATGCCAATTCAAAGGAAGCCATTTTTTAACATTGGTTTCAATTTTCAAACAATCTGTGTACTATTTGACTTATTATGCATGATTTCCATTTGAATATTAGTTCCTATACTTGATCTTTGATGTGTAGGAGAATCATCAGAATTGCTCATGTCAAGGATCTCGAATAAATTAAGGATGGAGCAAGAGATCACAGTATGATCAGGAATTGGTTCACTTAATGAAAACTAGGGATAATTAGGAATTGGTTCCAGTCCGTTACATGATCAAACTGCATGAATGATAGGTTTAGTATGTCATGTCTTTCATATCATTGTTTTGGCGTTTTGGCAATGGTTCAGTAAATGCAATGTCTTGTCTATGGAAATACAGTGTAGTTTCATTTTATACTTAACTATGGAAACATAGAGTAAATGCAATGCCTTGTTTTTATCTCTCAGTTCATGTCAAGTGATTTTGAAGTTTATTTTTCCTAACTTTCTCTGGGGGTACCATTAGTTTATTATGCTTGCCTTGTCATATTAGCAAAACACTGAACTTTCAGTGTTTAGTTCAGCGCTATGAAACAGCTTTCACAAAGCATAATTAGCTAAATACTTCAAATTTGATAGAATTAACTTTGTTATGCATAAGTGTTTTTTGGATTATATACATGGTCATATACAATTGTGTGAAAGGTGAACTATAGAAAAAAAATCATCGTTTGGTCGTTTTTATGTGCATCCCTAAATGAAGTCGTGGCGTTAGCACGGGCATTATACTAGTAACCAGTAAGTACAATAGCGAATGTTAAGTTTCAACATGTTATTTTTATCCATTATATTATATTGTAGCAGCCGATAGCGGTAGAAGCCCAATATCGTTATAGTGGCCGCTATTGTGGGATGCTATATATATATATATATATATATATATATATATATATATATATATATATATATATAAACAGGTACTGACACGGGTATTCCTTCCTGCCCGCAGAACGGGAAGGCAGCCTAGAACGTTTCATCATTTTTATTTTTATTTTTTGAGCAAGCCTAGAACCTTTCATGAGTGTCATTTTTAGTTTAGGTGGGCTTAACTTCTCCTCTCTCAGAACTGAAGAAGAAAGGCCGAGAGCTTAAGGTGGATTCAGAATTTCCGGCCCGAAAGCCCATAGCTCGAAAACTTGCGTGGCCCGCGTTCTCCCACTCTTCCTAGAGAGAAGCTCGTCGTAGTAGCCCAGCCCATCGTCCATGGCGGCGGCAACATGCTCGCGGCGGCGATTTTTCCGCGCACCACATGCGAACTCCCCGCCGCCATCCGTCCCCCTCCGCCAGCTCCCGTCGCTGACGCTGAGGCGCGTGTCCTCGTGTTCCCTGCGACCCTCCCCGCCCCGAGGCGTCGCCATGGACCTCGTGGCCGTCCCATGTTGTTCAGCAATAGTTGAAGCGTCAAAACTCTACTTGTGGTCAGAAATCCCTGTCAAGTTGCGCACTGCATGTCTGAATCCTCATGGGCGGGCAGATGTTCTGCTATTGAAAACAGAGCGTTCATATAGAATTTGTGCCTACTTTCCACTTGGCAGATGTTCTTATCATGTTTAGTTAAGAATCGGTCATGCTGTCTTGAAGATACAACTAACCATAGTATAGGTTATGATCCTTAATTACATGTAAAATTTGTAAAACTGACTGCCTCATTACAGAGGACATATATAGAGTGCTTCCTTTCAACATGATATAAAGATAGAGACTTTGGAATCCGACCGATAGAAAGTGGCACGAGTGACTATCTCTTTCTACCATTAGCTTTGCAGCGAATAATGCCACCGTCTGGTATAGGATTCCAGTGTCGTGAGGCATCGGTTGCTTTTGATGTGTGCTCTCCTTTTCCTTTAATTTGTTGGCAGCAATGTCATCTTGGGCGTCCATGGAATCCGTCCTGCTCTGATCCTGCAGAGAAAAGAACGTCGAAGGATGGACGTATGGAAAAGGGAAATCGATCAGGTGCATACAGGACAGGACAGGACACCGCGTGAACCTAACGCAAGGCATATGCATCTGACGAGTCATTCCCCAGCTTTTTCCCATTCGTGTTGAACAAGCAGGTTAAAGGTTAAAGGTCATTTGGGCATGTCCAACGCCACACTCCGACTAGTAGCCTTAGCATGTGTTTGGATTGATGGTTCACGTGGGTTGGATCCAGATTATCAGCAGTGTTTGGTTGGAGATTCTAAGTGGGTTGGATTTGTCTCCATAGAGAATATGCCGTGTAGATATGAATTGGATTGATTTCTCAGAAAGGAAGAAATGGGGGCAACCCACTTCTTCGTCCATTTGTCACGCGTGCTTGCGCGAATGCTTGGACCATCCTTTCTATTGTTCAGCTCAATAGTGAAACCCTAATGGTGAACATTTTAAACTTATTTTGGAGACTCTCCGCACCACATTGCCTTTGGATGGACCATCCTTTCTATTGTCTTCAATAGTAGTGGTTGGAACTTTGGAAAGAGCTCCAGCTTCAGCAAATCATTCGAAGATTGTGTAGCGCTCTCCACCATCACAGCTGGACCGTCCGTTCCATGAGAATGAACAGTTCTCACCTAGAAAACCATTGGCCGATCTTGACCTTCAACGGTCCGGTCCGTTCACTTCAGGCTTCAATTGAGGTCTAACTTGTTTTATTGAATTCCTCGTTGTACAACCAAGTCCTCGATACCATTGGTTCACCATATTGGCACCACCATACACATTGAACACTTGGTCGAGTTTCTCGTACTCAAATCCAATCCCCTTAATCATGATACTTGACTCTTCGGAGATTCTTTGCCTTATCTTGAGTCATTGATTGCAGCGCATGACTCTTGAATGATTCTCATCTTTCAATACGGAGTTCTTGATCACCTTTTCATTAGCACTTAGGGACATCTTCATATTTTATGACCTAGGCATGGCTAGCACCCGGACGTCCCAACACTACTCCCGTCCGGACACCCGCGCGTGCCTGCTTGCTTCGCCTACACATGCTGCTGCTACATGCCCCGCCTGTTGCACGTGCCCGCATGCGTCTGATGCTGCTGCGCGCCTACAATGCTACTGTTGAATGCCCCACATGCGCAAGATGCTACTGCACGCCTACGCATGTTGCTGCTGGGCTGCACGCGCCCACATGCGCCTGATGCTGCTGCGCGCCGCTACTAGGTTGCACGCGCCTGCTGCTGCTTCGCATGTTGCCTGCTAATGAAAACACTTGCAACATGAAGCGCTCCGCAACATTCGTCTGAAAATAGGTGAAATATTTGGAACACATACGGTTGCAACAAATGTGCATAGCCACTGCAACATACGCAACATCTAGATAAAACACTTGCAACATATTTCTGAAATAGCTGACATATTTGGAACATAGACTTGCAACCTACGTGTATAGCCAGTGCAACGTATGCAGCATCCAGATAAAACACTTGCAACGTACGTTTGAAACAATTAAAACATTTGAAATATATACTTGCAACATATATATGTGTATAGCTATTACAACATATGCAACATCAGATCTACTTTTGTAACATCCAGATAAACACATATGTAACATACATCTGAAACGCAGGTAACATATCATTGCAAACATGTGCTTATTTACTTGCTATCACCCAATGGAGCTCATTGACGTGGTGCGGGAAGCAAGGGCGCGAGACACGAGTCGGGTCCGTGCCATCCGAAAGGACAGACGATCTAAGGGTATCATTATCGTAACATAAAATATGTTTCTCCAAAAACATTTGTTTGTTACACATACAAAGTTGTCACTTACCACCAAATCCACATACCTGAGAGGTTGGCATTCTTACGGCCCTTCTCAGACATACAAACAATCGATTTTACTTTGCACGGACAATGGAGGCCTTCGCATGAGAAGAAGAAAAGACGCGTGAGATTGATTTGTTCTGGCCTCTTTGCAGTTGTGATTTCTCCTGGCTACCGGCTAGTGCGAATTCGCATACCAGTCTATGAGTATTACCAGACATGCTCATCTCGTCCCCTCACAAACATTGACCCCATCTGTCACTCTGTCAGCCAATCGCGTCAACGGTTCGTTTGAATTTGAACTAATAGCTGTTGCTAGCGATTTTTTTAACATTTTTTTAAACTAATTTTAAATCTAACACTGTTTTTTTTCTTCAAAACTAACACTTTTGACCGTGTCTATTTCCCTGCGCGGCAAAACGCCTGTACCGCGTCATGCATGGTGGCGCGGCGAGGGGATGACGTGGCGACGACCAGGGCGCTGACCAGCTGCACATCGTGTCCTCCTGTTGGCTCTGAATTAAAAAAATAAAGCAAACTCAACTCAGGTAAAAAAATAAAGCCCGCTAGCCAAGCTACATGCTCAACTTTTGGCGCGTGCATGCTGCAGCAGCAGCAGCGGAGAAGCCGAGAAGGCGATAGTGGTGCTTGCAGGGTGATGAAGCCGCTGTAGCCGGTGGCCTTTAACACGCCGGTGCCTTCCAATGCCGGTTCCTGGTTGAGCTGTGTCACGGCGTCGCATAGAAATTTCTGGTGCCACGTCACCGGTCAGCGCCGCAGTCGTCGCCACGTCATCCCCCTCGCCGCGCCACCATGCATGGCGCGGCATAAGCGTTTCGCCGCGCCAGGGAAATAGGCACGATCAAAAGTGTTAGTTTTAGAAAAAAAAACAGTGTTACATTTAAAATTAGTTTAAAAAAATGTTAAAAAAAATTCTTGCTAGCGGCGCGGCTGAAAGAAAATGCTCCTTTCAAGAATCTTCTAAGTTTGGCTGACGGCAACCACCGCCCACAGAAGCGGTCGTCACTCACCTTCGGTCTTGCTGTGGCCGTGTGGATTCAAAACCGCTGAACGCCGCCTATTTAAGCCCTCCCCCGCCGGTTTTCTCTTCTCCTTTCCACGTGTTACACCAACCACACGCGCCAAGCCGAAGCCGTCGTCTTCCACCGATCCGCCCGCCCGTTCCCCATCGCTTGCTTGCCATGGCGCAGCAGCAGCAGCAGCAGGTGAGGCGGGTTCTGAAGGTGGCGCCGCCGGGGAAGGGAGACGGGGAGTGCTTCCCCACGGTGCAGGCGGCGGTCGACGCGGTGCCGCTGGGCAACCGGGCGCGCGTCGTCATCCGCCTCGCGCCGGGGGTCTACAGGGAGCCCGTCTACGTCGCCAAGACCAAGAACTTCATCACCATCGCGGGGGCCTCGCCCGAGGCCACCGTCGTGTCGTGGGACAACACCGCCACGCGCATCAATCATTCTCAGGTGCGCGGCGGCGTCAGCTCTTTCTCCGCCTGCGTCCTGCTCGACGAAATGCCCGGCAGGCTTGTCACTTGTGTGCGTGTGCTACGGTCGCTATGATTAGTAGGTTCCAAGGACTACTGTTGCATGCCTGACCGGATTCAGCCGATTAACGTAAACTACTTTAGTTGCTAATCACATGGGTTTCAGGCTTTGACTTGTGCACGTATGCACGTTTCTTAGCTTCCGCCACATAGTTTGATCAAAGTCATACAAACCTTTAGCCTTTGGGGGTTTATTATAAGATAAGATGCATGTTTCTTTCCATTCCTTTCCGTAGGAGCAATCCTATAAGCAGAAGCAGGGACAATACTGCTGGTGCATAGAGACAACCGGTAAACTGCTTTCACCGATTTTGACCGAGGTGTATAAGATTCTCCTATCCTATGAGCACAAACGGATATTCGATTAGGCAATTCTGTAGCCACACCCCCTTGAGTTTACTCCTGAGCACAGCTCGAAATGTGCTTAACATTTTGAATAATTCTTATTTATATCTCATAATGATGAACTGTGCTGTTTTTTCTCATAAAGTCATCCAGGGTTATAGGAACAGGAACATTCGGCTGCGGTACATTCATTGTTGAGGGGGAGGATTTCATTGCAGAGAATATTACGTTTGAGAATTCAGCTCCCCAGGTACTGGTTCTTTGCTTCTTCTCCTGGCATAAACAGATATGATCATGCTATAGGTGTGAGATGGGAAGTTGATGTGTGCTACTCATTGATACAGGGCTCTGGACAGGCTGTTGCAGTCCGGGTGACCGCAGATAGGTGCGCTTTCTACAACTGCAGGTTCCTTGGTTGGCAAGTACGTCTGTCTCTTCAGCTCCTGTTTAAATCGCCTCAACAACCAGGATATATACTTTTCAATAACATTTGGAAACTCTAATTCTAAACAAAATTTAACAGGACACATTATACTTACACTACGGAAAACACTACTTAAGAGACTGTTATATTGAAGGCCATTGTGACTTCATCTTTGGTAACTCTATCGCCCTTATGGAACATTGCCATATCCATTGCAAAGCAGCAGGATTTATTACTGCTCATAGCCGGAAGTCCACATCAGAATCTACTGGCTATGTATTCTTGAGGTGAGTCTGGTGTATGTAGTTTGTTTAATAAGGCACTCAACTATTTTCATATTTTTGAAACTTTATTTGCTTGATGTGTTTTATAAAAACATTTAGAATGTTGCTTTAGCATTATTAATGTGTTGTTTTTGCTCCTTTTGTTTTGACACTTCAGGTGTACTATTACTGGAAATGGAGATGGTGGATATATGTTCCTAGGTCGGCCATGGGGGCCCTTTGGAAGGGTTGTCTTTGCATACACTTTTATGGATCGATGCATTAAGCCTTCTGGGTGGCATAACTGGGACAAATCTGAGAATGAGCGAACTGCTTGCTTTTATGAGTACAGGTAATAATTGGACAATTCCATGTAACTATCAGCTAGTGTTGGGGATGGATGATGTAGAGCATAGACTGCAGTGGTATCTGCTAACACTGGTTTCTGCAGGTGCTCAGGGCCAGGCACCCAGCCGTCGAACCGAGTGACCTGGTGTAGACAATTGCTGGATGTTGAAGCAGAGCAGTTCCTTGCACACACTTTTATCGATCCAGACGTTGATAGGCCATGGCTCCTCCAAATGATGGCAATAAGAATACCAGCCTCAGCATAGGTTGATCCCAGGTCCTGGTTCATGCCTCCTTTGTAGGCCATCTAATAAACAATAATAAAGTTGGTGGATGCATTTTATTTGTATAAGTTTGTAACGCATGTTCAATTGGTATCCACTTTGATCTCACTGAGAATGGCGGGGATAGAGAATGAGAGAGGTTTTGTTGTGAGAAGCTTGTAACGAACTCGAGCACTAGGCTGAAATATATGCAGATATTATTTTGCATGTCCTGTTTTTTTTTTCAATCTGATGAAATGAAAGTGCACAAACGTTTATGAAGAAAATGTGGCGACCCGTTGCAGGCTTTTCTCCCCTGAATGCAGCGGTGAAGCTGCCTGTTGCAGGTGTGCAGTGCTGCTGATTTGTGGATGAAATTCAGCCACGACCAGTATGCAGATTTTTCCAGGTAGCTGTGCTGCTAAACATTTTTCTAAAATTACCTGAAAGGTAGGCTTTTATGATGTGTACAAGTGTAACTGCTTATTGATAATTTGTTTGCTGCGCGCAATTTGTAAATGTATTTTCCCGGTGCTTTCATTTCATCCATTTGATTCAGATTCCAGAGGACAATATTTAGGGCCTCTTTGGCACGGCTTATGTCGGCTTTGGCTTCATCTATTTTGCGCAAATCGAGGCACTGTAGCATGAAGCCGTTTTGTAAGCCGGGGTTAAAATGAACTAAAAGCCGGGAAAAGCCAGTTTTTCTGTCTTCACCGGCTTTGCCTTCACCGGTGAAGCTGTTTTGGATGAGCCGTGCCAAATGGGGCTTTACTTTAGTTGATTAACCTAACCGGTTGCTATGCAGATTGTTGCAGGAAGTTGTGCCGCTAAACATTTTTTTAAGTACCTGAAAGGAAGCCTTTTATGATGTGTACAAGTGTAAAACCGCTTGCTAGTGGATGCGCAGCTAGCTAGTCTGTTGAAGTTAGACCCTGACGAAGAGCAGTTGGACAGCAACGTGGTGATGCGCCTGCCTGAACAAACGGTCGAACAGATGAGCTGATCTTGTTGCAAAAGTCGTAATGCGCTACAGTAACGGGAGGGATCTGGCACACACACTTGGGGGTGAGTACGCAGCACGGTAGCAGATTGGATAAGAACGTAACTTTCATCCTCCATGCCTCTTCTTAAATACTAGTAGTAGTACCTGTGATCTTGGACGGAAAACTACAGGAGCCCTGCCTAACGCAAGTTGTGATCTCTCTCTAGATCGGTCTATTCATCAGAGTCTAGTAGGCTTGGGACATGCATGCACGGCTCTTGGCTCTTGGCTCTTGAGCACAATCGCAATGGGTATCCGTATCCCCCACCCAGCAGTTTGATTTGGCGTGCGTGCGATACCAAGCAACAAGCATGGTGGATCCGGGTCCAGTAGCGTCGCCGTCGGGCATGGATAAAGATCCAGGGCCAGGCAAGCAAAACACAGCACAGCTGCAGGGGGTCGCTCTGCGCTCATGGACAGACAAACAGCGATGGCAACGGCCTGCCAGCAACGCATAACGCCACGGCCCATGGCCGTCCTATGCTATAGCTTTGGTTTTCTTTTAGTATATTTTTTTGTTAATAAAAAAACTGTTTGTCAGTGTTGGTACGGGGTTCCCAATTAATTAAGAGACCATGGACGGATTTACAACGTTGGATGTAGAGATTGAGATATGATGGAAGGACAGGCTTCACTTCCATTATGTCTAAACAACTGTCAGATGAGTTTCTGCCCCCATATTTCCATAGGTACGGTGGTAACTAGGTCTACGTGTGCAAAGCACACCTGAGACGTCACTGTCGTCTAATCAAGCATTGATGCTACAAGATATGGTACAATACAGGTGGCGCAGGCGGCAGCGAGCCGGCGGCTCTCCTCCCATGTAGGCCGCGTTGAGCCCGACGGGAGCGCCCGCTGCGGCTGTGGCGGCGCCAGCCTGTGTCCGGGCTGGCGCGGCGGCGGTGGATCTCCTTCTCCTCCGCTCGTCCCTTGTTTCGACCTTGACGGTGGCGGCGGTGCTGGCCCATATCGCCGGAGCTAGGTCCGAGGCGGGCGGATCTGGTGTTCGCACGGCCAAATCCGAAACTTTGGTGGCTGGACCCGGCGCGCACTTCGAGGGCTGGCGGCGGTGGCTGGCCAAGACGGGGGCGGTAGCGCCACCCAGGGGTGTCGGCGTCGGTGTTCTACAGACGGTTCTGACGCCCCCCAGGGCAGGGGGCGGCACCCTCGGGGTGAGGCACGTGTCTGGTGGTGGTTGGCGACGGGTCAGTAGCATCGGCCGCACGTGCTGAGAGCCGCCGACGGCGACCGGCAGAGGCATTCGTCATCTGGCGGTGTTACGCGAGCGGCGGAGTCAAGCCCAACTCTGCGTGCCCAGTCGGAGGGGGTGGCGACCGACGTAGCTATGCAACTGCTATGTGTAGCCGGCGCGTCGAGGCTCCTCTGAGGGGGTTGTTGTGGAACGACGGTACAACGGAGAAAGCAATGTTGGCTGGCAAGGGGCCCGGCTTCATGGCCCGACGTTCGTGCTAGAGGACTTCTTGGGTGAAAGCCTGCCGACGGTGACGCCTGTGGGTGCCGCTTTCCCTGTTGGAGGCGTCATGTATCTCCTGTAGCACTGTCATCCAAGGGTGAAAGCTCGATCCAGTTTGGACGTGCGACGGTGGCGCCATCGACGTCGCTACCTTCCTGAAGGCGCCGCGTTTTGGATTTCGTCGTGGCTTTGATGTCTCCTTCGATGATTGCTCTTCGCTTCTTGGCGCCTGGTTGACGCATTGAGGCGGGTCTTGTTGCGAGAAGTCAAAGATGCTACGTCATGGACGTGGCTCGGTAACGACGACACGTGGCAAGCCCCCACCTTCATCGGAGGCTGGGGTTTGCTGGGGGTCGGCAAGCGTTGGAGGCGAGGCGTGTGTCCGTGACTAGAAGTCGGCGCTGCTCTTCACAGGATACTTGGGCTTGGCAATGATGACCGGTTGCGACTGCTTGCTTCGGGCTCGTTGGAGGGTGGCTTGTGTGTGGACTAACATGAGAAGTCGGAGCTGCCAGTGGCTTTGCAACTATGCTCGGCAACAATGACCTATGACAGTGTGCCGTGTTAGTGCTCAGTTGGGTCGCGTGGTTTGGTTAGCCCCTCAGGTGTCCTTTTTGGCATACCATTGGCTAGCCTATTCTACGTAAATTCTTTCGTCTTAATTGAGTGAGCTTCTGCCATTGGTTAAAAAAAAGTTAATTACCCTTTTTAACACTACTACTACGTTGGCACGAGAAATTAATTCATCCTATATGTTCTCCTTCAGCACCATCTTGGAACAGAAATTGCATTCCGGTTGAGATGACCCAAGTTAAGTCCATGCATGCACAATCAATCAACAGTAATGCTAGCTCTTACAAATTCAAACAGCTAGGAGCCCAACGGCGCATGCAATGCAATCTACCATATCCATACGCTGTTGTGTGCTACATAAAACTCTCATGTGACACAGTCCAAGATAGTTACAATGGCACAAGCACAAGAAGGCTAGAAAGAAAGAATTCGTCAGGCGCCATTCCGTGCCTTGTGAAATCCTTCACTGCGGCCCTGCTGCATCGCCGCCACGGCATTTGGCACGGCCTTCGTCGTCGCCGCCGACACGTCCACGGCCCTGTGGCTGGCGCACCCCGCCAGGATCCCGCCCGGGCGGTGGCCCCGCAGCTGCCTTCCGGCGACAGGACCCCTCGCGCCGCCGCCGACCCATCTAGCGGGGACGCGGTCGCCGCGCTCCGACGCGTCCGCGGCGCTCGCAGTCACCACGCTCCACTGGATGCTCGCCTCGCTCGGCTCGTAGGGGCAGTCGCCGATCATCAGGCTCTTGATCTCGAACAGGTCGGAGCTCGACTCGCTCCCGGCGTCGTCGTCGTTGTCGTGGTGGAGGTGGTGCGCACCACCGCCACGGCCAACTTTACCTGCTCCGCCGGGCTCGCCGACGACGCGGCCGCTCGCCGGCACGTTGTTGGCTCTGACCGGAGCCACCAGGGTAGAGTTGCTTCTCCTCCTTGAGAAGGTGAGCTCAGCAGCCTCCTTCTCCTCTCCTGTCATCTCCCTCCCGATGGCTGCCACTTTCGCCGTCCCAAGATTCAGACTTGGAGGGAGACCGGCGGCGGCCACCAGGCCATGGCTATTGCCATCCCCAGAGAGTCCGAGTCCTAGGGCGGCCTTGTGCATCCTTAGCTCTCTGTACCAGTCGATCCCGGTCGACGCCTCCGGTTCGGCGGCGTCGGGGGCTGCCTTGGCCGCGCAGCCGTCCACGCGCACCGACCGCTTCCCGGAGCACGTGCGCATGAGCACGCCGACCTGGACGCAGCACTTGTTATCCCGGGAGCTGCCGCTGCGCCGTCGGAGCCCGCCCCCGAAGAGCGCCGTCTGGCTTTTGGCGCTGGACGCCGAGCTCGCGGTGAAGCTCACCGTCGACGCGCGCGTCGAAGACGGCTTACCCATTACCACGGCCTCCGCCGCCGGCCTCGCAGCGGCCGTCTCCACCAAGGGCTGCGCCTGCACCTGCACCGCTACCGCGGGGGTGGTGACACTGAAACCTTCCTTGCGGTCCCCATCGCCGTCCATTGCGCCTCTGAAGTACAGCTCGGCGGCGAACACGTCGAGCTCGCCGTCGGCGTACTTGCGCCGCCGTCTCGCCATGGTATGCGCCGGCAACGGCCGCGGCGCCGTGCGACCGCCGTCGGCGTCCCGGCCCATGTCAAGGTACGACGACAGCGAGCTGCCGTTCCGGCGCCTCCCGCTGATGGCGTCGTCGAAGGTGACCACCCTGCCGCCACCATTTCCCGATCGCCCCATCTCCATGTTGCTACCAACACACACCAGTACAAGGACGAAGAAAATGGTGTCGCCAATGGAGATGTTGTGAATAGGGGCACTTATATAGACATCACAGTACACATCACCAAAATAAAATAAAGATAAAAATATATGGACACATAAATTTCACCACTGTTCATGTACGAAAACTACTCCTATCATAATAATTCAACTGAGAGAGATAAACCTAATTGCCAATTTGTCTGCATGAAGGAATAACTGCAACGGCAACAGGGAGGAGATGAGGAGGCTGTCAAGTTTGTTTGCAGACAGTACTGCTGGAGCACCGATGGCCATATGTTTCTTTTCGCAACGTTTTATGATCCATCCGCATAGACACACAGGAGCTTGATGCCGCCCTGACACTCATGCTAACAAAACTAAATTTGAAACTGTTGTGCAGCATGACTCCGACAGTGACCTGCGAAGGCGACAAGGAAACCATCGCTGTTCGTCAGGGAAAAAGAAAAGGGCAACGATGGCCGTTTCCTGTCCATCTGCACAATGAGACACCAAAGAAATTTGAACAACAGTGATACTTTTCGTCTCCAGGTAACACTTGCGATGCACAAGGCGGATCCAGCTCACGAGGTTAGGAGGGGCTCTTTCTTCTTCTCCTACCTTTCATCCCTTACCTTCTTCTTCGTTCTTCCTAAAAAAATCAAGGAGGAGCTAAAGGGGGCTCCATTGTCTGAACCGTGGTAGGGGGGCTTGAGCCCCGCCCACCCCACCGCTAGATCCGTCGCTGGGATGCATGTTAAGGGTCTTTATCTTGCGAGATGCTAATTTACTAGGGGAAATATGCATTTTCTGAATTAAGGAGGCCAGCCGCGTTTTCCGCCCCCAAATGAGAGGTGAAGGGAAGCACAAAGGTACTATCTGGAACAGTGGGATCAAGATAGTCTGGTGTTTTATGCAACAGTTGAGCTGTAGGCGTGTACCATGGAACAGTTCATCACTCTGCTCCACAAACTGCTCTTGCTGTTCAAAATCTGCTCTGCTGTCATCACTGACGACATCTATAGGGGGTGTTTGGTTATCATCATTTCACTTTCTAGTTTTTTTGTTTGATTTGTAGAATAAAATGAGTTAATTCATCGTAACCTCATTTCTCACAAGTTAATAATTAATACCAGTACGAAGAATTGGATCATTCCACTAAATTTGAGGAATAGACCAAACAAAACACTCCAACTAGTGTTTTGAAAAACTGCATTGTGCACAAAGATTGGAGATATTCTTCTGGTAATGCTAGGAAGCTGCGCTTTTGGGAAGATAATTGGTTTGGGTACTCTAGCTTAGCTATCTCTTTATAAAAAAAAAACACAGCTATCTAGGTTTGGCCGCTGTATCAAAAAAAAAAAAAGAAGAAGAAGCAAAGCAGCCCATATTTACTTTTGAATAATAGTAGCGTTGTGTCTAAGGGTCTGATGAATATGTGGCAGGGCCTCTATCCAGATAGCTGAGAGCATCATTTTCACTATGACCATTTGGGCTTATAACTCTAATGCCAAATATTCATTTCAATCCTTTTTTTTCTTTTTCTTTTATTAAGAGAAGAGAGAATTACATCCAACAATTATCCATGATTCTAGCAAGTATGAACTTACCAAGATCATTGATCGGAAGGCGCGACCCTACACAATCCTTGCGATACAAATCTCACTCACAGGCAAACAATCTGCGACCAGGCGCAGCTAAGTATAGAGAAATGGAAATAACAAAGTCACAACTAAAACGACTATAGGTGAAACGACCTATGCTATAGAGACCACACAACTCTCCGTCAGCGGTGACCGGTGAGCACAAGAGGCACGGCCACCTTCTTGCGACCATGATGCTTGATGACTTGATGAGCATCATAATAAATACCTGACCACTGCTTGACGCCTAACATCTTGAAATTCTTCACCAATGAAAGCCCACGGTTTTAGGAGTTCAGTCCTTGTACTCAATGATCACCTTTACAGGAGTTAAGCCAGTTTATGTTCCAGCTGTTTGAAAGCTCGCTGTCACTCCCCGAGTTCATAACTTCATATCGACCTGTTAACTAGAGATAACTTGAGTAAAAGAAGGAAGATAGACGATCAATCATATTTCTTTTGCAGTGAAAAATAATCAATTGAACATCTTTTCTTTGATTCCAATATTGCTTGCCCGACGTCGGACGTCCGATGGCAGACTCCGCCTCGCCCAACGTCTAGGGGCAAACTCGCCTCGCCTCGTCCGACGTCTGGGGGCAGGCTCCGCCTCGCCTGACGTCTTGTGCGCTGAGGGCTGGCTCCGCCTTGCCCGACGTCCGGGGGTAGGCTCCGCCTCACCCGACGTCCGGGGGTAGGCTCCGCCTCGTCCGACGTCCGGGGACACGCTCCGCCTCGCCCAATGTCCGGGGACACGCTCCGCCTCGCCCGACGTCTTGTGCGCTGCTCCTTCAAAACTACGCGTGCAGATAAGGCGGGGCACTCAAGTCAACCGCAATACCGAGGACCATACCCTGCACACTTACAGGAAAGTACCATCAGGATATGACCAGACGGGCGCTTTAAGCCCTTCCAGGCATGTCAGAGCCCAAACAGTATTGTGGGTGCCGACATTTGTCCTATAGTGTTATGGGTGCTGGCATTTGCTCTCGGACACGAATCCTGACGGAAACATACGACAACCGCTACGGTCCAAGAGAAAACTCATGTCATCTATAATACGAACGTGGGGGCCTCTACGCCATCTGCTCTCCGTAGAGTCACGGCTTGACACCCTAGTGCGTCGCGCCGCCCACCGGGGAGAGATGGGACGCAACCACTTGCTGAACGAAGCCAGAGCACGGCCCTATCAGGATCACCGAACGTGCTATCCCTGACACCGTCTGCCGTGTCAGCAGGGCAGGCTCAAAGAAAAGGAAGACCCGGCACCTTGAAGGACATTCTTGGCCTCTGGGTTTTCTTCTTTCTCCCGTCTGTAAATCCCTGCTCCCCTTGATCTATAAAAGGGAGGGCAGGGCTCCCCACTAAGGGGACGGATCAATTCTACACACCACGCATCACATAACACGCATCTGAGCAGCAACCGAGCTCTCAGCACCCGTTCAACCTTTCCATCAGAGACTTGGGACCTGTCCCTCTCTCGACCGTTTGTACCCCCTACTACGAACCTTTCAGTGCTAATAACATGAACAACAGCAGCAAACTAGACGTAGGGACATTCTGCCCAAACCAGTATAAACTTTGTGTCTTTTAGCACACCATCTGGGCCCAACGCGCAACAAATACAAATTTACTAGTTGGCGTTTATTTGAAACACCGATAGTTGGCGCGCTAGGTAGGGGACCTTTGCACGTTCCGACGTTAACATCAGGCCACGGATGGTTACCCATGGTATCAGTTGGGTCCTAGGCTCACACATGCGCTTCGGGGACCTAGACTTCATCATCACGGTGGGAGGAGAGTTGGCGTTGGCTCATGTCACCATCCAACCTCTCCCCTCCATCGACCTCTACTGCGGGAGGCTTGAGCGCCAGCTCGGCGTCTCCCTTGGACCCTAGCCATCCAGGGAGGACCTGCGCCGCCTCACCCTCTCTTCGGAACACCCCGCACGGAGCGCCCTGACAGTGCTTCCATTCGGTCTCCGCAACGCCGCGGCGACCGTTAGCCACCTGGTGGCACAGCGCATGATCCCATCCCCCACGAACAACGAGTTCATGGGGGTGATCAAACACGTCACAGAGTCTCTCCACGATGTCCTCGCAGAGGAGCCAGGGTCATCCTCTGGCTCTGATTCCAGCAGGGGGAGCCATCATCCTTCCCGGGAATGCTTCATGACGGGTACCCCCGAGCATCTCCATGGAGGAGGCTACCCCGGCGAACAACCTCGGCGACGAGGCCGAGGGGGAGACGGTGGCCCCACCTCACATGGGGGTGGAGCAGCTGAAAGCCTGACACCGGGAGATCAAGGAAGCGCGACTCCAGCTTGAGCGGGAATGCGCGGAGCTTGATCGGGAGATCGAGCGCCGTGGAGACGGTGGGCGCGCACGACGCCATGCCCCGCGACGTAAACTAGAGGATCATCACCAACGATGAAGCCCTCCCTCGCTTCGCCTGAGCAAGCCAGAACATCGCCGCCGCGGTGGCCTTGCTCCACGGTCTTCTAGAGGCCGCGGCGCCTGAGGATCGTCGAGCCCACCATGAGATTCGCACACTGCTCCAGCGTGTAGTGGCACAGTAGGCAGAGAGCTCATTGTCTCGGCGACACGAGCTCGACGCAGCCAACGCATGCTCTCCAAGCGGCCTGACAGGGACACGTCGGTCCACCAGGCACCATAGGGCGGCAGGCTACGCGCCCGCTGTCCTAGTACATCAGCGTCTCAGCCACAACCATGACGCATGCAGCACCCTCGATGCCCACAGACATACCTACGGTGACCCGAGAGAAGGAGCCCACCACGGCTATCATCCTCGTCGCGGCGGACGCTACGACAGCGGCGAGGACCGAAGCCCGAGCCCCGGCCTCCCGGGCTCTCAGGCCTTCGGCCATCACATCCTCAACACTGCTTTCTCACCAAGGTACCGACCACCTACCAATATCCCAAAGTACTCTAGGGAAACAAACCCCGGACTATGGCTCAAAGACTATCGGCTTGCCTGCCAAGCCGGTGGTGCGGATAATGACGACTTCATTATTCGCAACCTTCCACCGTTCTTAGCCGATTCGGCATGAGCTTGGTTGGAACACCTGCCCTCCAACGCAATCCAGAGTTGGGCGGATCTGAAGGAGATCTTTGTGGGGAACTTCCAGGGCACATACAAGTGCCCTGGGAACCCATGGGACCTCAAGAACTGCCAATAGAAGACCGGTGAGACACTCCATGGGTATATCCGCCGCTTCTCCTGATAGTGCAATGAGCTACCTAATGTCACTGACGCCGACGTTATAGGAGCTTTCCTGTCCAGGACTACCTGCGAGTCTTTGGTTCATACGCTAGGATGCAAGGG